CCTCACTGCCGAGAAACTTTTCCTTAAGTTCCTGGGGAACTTTTGGTGCTTCCGTTTGTGGCCGTTTCCTCTAGTTCTGTCACTGGCCACCCCTGCAAAGAGGCCGCCCTGTCCTCCTCACTGCCTCCCTTGAGGTGTCTATGGACACTGCTCAGGTCCCCCCTCAGCCTCCTCTTCTCCAGGCTGACCAGGCCCAGCTTCCTCAGCCTTTGCTCACGGGGCAGATGCTCCAGGCCCTGATCATCCTCGTAGCCGTAGCCCAGTGCTGGGCTCTCCGCAGCTCCGCAGAAGATGCAGAGATTGAGATGTAAAGGAGCTGGTTTCTGGGTCGCCTCGAGGCCTTGCTCTCAGTCGAGAGGCAGTGCTGTCCGCACGTGCTGCTGTGTGGCTCCTCGGCGGCCGTGTGGGGCAGGCCGTGGTCAGGCCGCTGGGAGCAGCATCGCAGGCTGCTGTGGAGCCGTCCCAATACCCACAGTGCGGATCAGGCGGTTCCAGCGAGCCCGCCTCTCTGTTTTTATTCCTACTATTACACTATCAGGAAAGAATTCAGGAGGACTATTTTTACGACCGGCCTTCAACGGGGCCTAAAGGAAACGGGGCAGATTGCGCCCGTCGGTGAAGCAACAGGAAGGGAGCCGTAAGCGAGGCTGAGTAACGTTTCCTGCGGCGCCCGCCGGCACAGAGGGGCATTGAGGGCGCCCCTGAAAGGCTCATTGAGGCCGCAGCCAGCCCTGCTGCCTGCCGTTTGCACGGCCCCCGTGCCAGGAGCCGCTGCAGCTTCCTTCGCTCCAACCTCCTCCTTAAAACAAGYTCAATACAGAGGGGCTGTCCGAGAGCAGGTTAAACCCCTTATCTTTGCATAAAGTGGATGGTTGATTCTGGTTTCCCTTGGTTTCCAGGCTTGTTTCCTGCTTGGCGCTTTCTCTGATGAAAGCGCGGAAGGAAAGAAGCAGCTCTTTGTGACGAGGAAGATCGGGAGGCAGCTCCGGCCCTGGAGCCGCCTTCTCGGAAAGGTCCTTCCTGGCGCTGGGCTTGAATGCCAGTGGAGTGAGGAGGTTATTAGCATGGTAATATTGGCATATTACCTTTGTTTTTAAAGGCAGAAATGTGTGGTGTGTGTTGTTTTGTTCTTTGAAGTATATAAGCTGTGGTAGAGCTGTGTCCGTAACAGGTTCTACGGAAAGCCATTTTTCTCTTTAAGTGTTATAAAATTGTGCGTGTTGGCAACTGTCTTCTCTACCCTCGGACAAAGTATGGGTGCAAAGTGCTGTTGGACCATCTTTGTGTGCCTTTAAAAACAGCTTCCATCCCAAGTAGGGAATCCTGGGTGGCTTGGCAGCTACTCAGGGCTGGGTGTGGGGAGCAGTAACCGAGCCAAGCACATGTCCCTGCAGCAGGAATTTAATGCGTGTGGGGCGGGATGGAGAGACAGGTTTTGCACAGCTCCCCGGGCCAGGTTGGCGGGCGAGCGCGGTGCCTGGATCTCGCTGACGCAGCCGTTCCCGCGCGCGCCTTTGAAGTGCTCCGGCTGCTCGGCAAGTCCCTGCCGCCGCCGGCCGCTGCTCACCGCGCTCAGCCGGGACCCCTCGGCCGCCGTGGGGCAGGATCCCAGCGCCTGGGGACACAGAGGACACCCAGAGGTCCCCTGTGGCGATGGGTGCATCCTGCCGAGTGCCGCACAGGCTGCGTGCGGTGGTGGCTGCTCGGGGACCGCGCTGCCCCTCGCGTGTGGCACCGGCCGGGAGCTGCGTTTTGCCCCGCTGTGCCCGCTGCAACTCTGCCCAAGAGCCCGGGTAGCTCTGCTCAAGAGTCAGCAGAGCTCACAGCTCTGAGGTCATTTTGGAACAAGTTGCTCTGGAATACTGAGCAGGAAATCTGCTCTATTTCTAAGTAAAATAATCCGGGAGCGCCTGGATTGGGGACACCTCAAGTTAGAGCAGCAGGACTTCGTTTTATGTGGAGCTTTGCTAGGCTGCAAAGTTATTCTTAATGCAATAATTTCATCCCCGTTCCAGAGTATCGCATGTGAATTTGTTTTGGAAACATTATTGCTAACCTATAGCATATGAATATGACTCATGTGATTTACAGTTGTGCTGGCTGGACTTTTTTTTTCCTCTCTCCTTTTTATTTTTTTTTCCCGCTCCCCCCTCTTCTGACTTGGAAAATTTTATGTTCAGATCTAAATAATCCGGACCTCTCCAGACCTTTCCATTAGAGTCTTAATTTCAGATTTCATAAAGTTTGCATAAAATGGGGAGGTTTAAACAAGGATGGCTTGAACATCACCCCTTCCCCAGCAATTCTCTTTGTAGTTTTTATTTATTTATAATTCTTTTGGTGATGTTGGCTATTCCCTAAAGCTACAGGTTGCCACCTGAGCGATTAACCTGTTTCACCATCCTTTAAAAACCCCTAGAAGTAGCGAATCGTTTTTGGATGAGGTGTTTGGGGCAAGTGGAGCGTTCCGCTCCAGGCGGTGTCGCAGGCTGGTTTGTTCTCACGGGCTGGTTTCCCATCGCTGCCGCTGGTGATTCTCTTCCTTCCCTTCATTCTCCAGCTGCTGAATCTCGTGGTAAGTGCACACATGGGGAATGCGGCCCATGGTCAGTGCTCGGTTAAGGGGCTGGCTCCCCAGCACCTTAGGAGGAGGAATCTCTTTTTAAAGAAAACTGCATGATGTTAACACTGTCTTTTCCCTTAAATCTCAGTGTTTTTCCCTGTCCCTGGGTGAGCGGCTCATCAGGCTTCTCTGTGCGGGCTGTGCAAGATGACAGAAGATGTTGGGTTCAAGTTGAAAGGCTGTTGACGTCTCTGCCTAGGCTGTGATTCACATTGGAGTGTCCTAGCACAGACCCGGGATATCAAGGCACCATCAGCAGCGAAGTCCGGGTTTCTGTGCTCCTGTTCTAGACGCTTCATGTGGAGCTGTGAGCCAACGTACCCCTTAATAACCCCGACACGTAGCTTGCTGTTGCAGGTGGAGGATTTCGCGTGGGCATAGCTTTCAAGGAGAGAACRCATATAAAAGATAGATAAGGATACTGGACGCGGTGCTTTAGCTTGATCTTGACTCAACAAATAAAATTCTTGTGCTTTGTGGTCTAAACTTCTTCCCTGGCTTGGTGCATGCAGAGAAATTATTCATTGATTATTGCTTCAGTTGTTCCAAATGTGAAGAGATTCGGTTGTTCTAAGAGGTTATGCAGAAGGATGAGGGAAGCCTTCACTCTTCAGTCCATACTTTATGGGGACTTTTATTGTYGCCCTTTCCTGCGCTCGTGTTCGCAAAGTCCCTTTCCCGAATGGGCGTCGCGGGGAAATAATCTCTGCCCTTTGCCCCGTGGTTGTGTGATCGCCCTCTTGCATAACTGATGCTCCGGGGTACAAAATGCATTTTTAAAGTAACAGCTTCTAAGCCTGTTTGCACTTTTATGGTGATTGAATAGATGGGGGGAATATTTTCATATCTGAATTCAGATTTCTTTAGTCTGCGGCCGGRCTGACGACTTGTTCCCACTAGGTGGCCACATAACCTGCAATTAACTGCAGTTGGGTGCCTTGAATAGAAGTGTGATTAAAAGTACGTTCTTCACTGGCAGGAATACCAAACAACCCTTTAAGCTCAGGGCCTCCAACACACTTTGAGAGGTGCTGTAAGGATCTAGTCTTAAATAACATGGCAGGAACTGAAGAAGGTTGGTAAGACTTGGCTGGAGTGTGATTTCTGTGATTTCAGTTAATCAGGAAAAGATTGTGCCTGACAGGATGCACGTAAACCTCGCTCACCAGATCTCCATGTGGATGTGCAAGGAGAAGGAAAAACTTTGCCCGAGTGTCTGTGAAAATCCTCCCTTGTGCCCTGGGAGGAGGTGCCGAGTGAAGCTGCTCGGGCCCGTAGCTCTGGAGCTCCAGGAGAGCTCTCAAGAAAGGATGTGGGAACTTCTCATGTGTATCGCTTCAACTTTGCTGTCAATAGGAGCTTTTAATCAGGCTAAAATTTTCCGTAACTGATGCCAGAAAGACTTAGTGTAAGACATATTTTAAAGACCTCTTCTCTTATATCTTAGTGTCAACGRCATTTAGAAAGAAATCAAACTTGGGAAGCAGTGTGTGGACACAGAGTGATGARAGGTGGAAAAAAAAAACCCTAGCTTTTCTTATTTAATTGTAACATCTGATACTAATACCAGCCTGGCTCCCCAGCAGTCCAGCTTCAACAGCAGTTGAGAGYGTCTGCACTGCTGTATAATTTCTATGGGTTTCGGTAATGACGTTTAAACAAAAATCTGAGCTTTATTGCTTTGGATGTCCTGCGGTGATATACGACCTTCCATTTGGTGTAAGAGTCTGTAGCCATTACATTTCTAAACRTTGGCTGTTGAGCCAAGGAACGTTTCCGCTGTGAGTTCTGAGGCGAGCATTCGTGCTGCCTCCTCCTTTATAGATGTGACATAAACGCAGCTCTGGAAAGCCCAGAACGTGTTTCCCAGGGCCTGGGATGGCTGCTGGTGCAGAATGGTTGTGTTGTGTGTGCATCGGTGCTAGGAGCCCCCTGCTCRGGCTGCCAAGTGCAGGGGTGAATCCCTCTCCCGAGAGCTTTGGCCTTTCCTATCAAGAGGATGCTGTACAGGGAGAAGCTGCTAATTCCATTATTTGTTTAAATATATGAACCATCTTATCTGGTGTATTCCACATGACCCGTGCTGTGGTCCATCCTTGTAAATCATCTATTCACAAACACATGCAATAATAGTAATGTACTTCAAAGTCTTGCTCAGGTAASTGCTTGGGCATCATTTGCAGGTCCCTGTTAGTACTTAGTCAAGTTAACTGTGGACAGCATTTTTCAATCTATATCTGTGCATAAGTTTTTTGTCCCTGGTTCTGTTTTTTAGGTCTATAGAACTGGAAGTACCACAAAGTGATGGGTGCTGTGAATGCTGTTGCTGATGTCTCTTTTCTTCTCTCTCCACCCTCCCTTTTTTTATTTTTTTAAGGACTTGAGCACTATCTATTCCTTCCTTCATGGACTGGACATCCTCTCGCATTTCAGGGAACATCAGTTAAGGTAAAGTAGGGTGAACTCTGTTAGTGTTGCATAGTGCAATCCATAAATGTGAATGTCTTTGCAGATGAGCAAAGCTGYTCCCGTGTGTTAGTTAGGAAAGTGTTAACCAAGTCTGGCTACTGAGCCCCAGTAGCGTGAAGGCACCGCAAATGCTTTTTAATAATTAAGACATTCAGATGATCTCAGAATACATAAAGGCCAGCAGAGCACAAAAAGAGCATTAGAGGTATTTTAATTCCTTCAGTTCTGTTGCTATGGGTAATTCCAATGTGTAGGAGTGATTTAAAGACTCGGAGAACACGCTGTATTTTATCTATSTGGATAATGAAGAATGCTGTTATAATTTGAATTTTATAGTTAAGTTTGTCCTTGAAGCAAAAAGTAGCTGCGTTTAAGGCCTTAAAACCTTAAAGTTATTCTGCTGAAATGTGGTTATCAATGGCTTAYGATGTATGGGGATTTGCACTGAAGTAATTTTTCTCCTCCTCTTCCCTCAGAATAATGTCATCGAGCGCCCGCTATGAGCGGTACAAGGGCAACCAGGTTCTCTTCTGGTGAGTACACGCGGCAGGACCGTCAGCAGCAGCGCTGTTCTGCGTGCCCCGGTGCATCGTTTAGTCTCTCCGTATGTGTCCAGATAGCACTTGAGAACACCYGAAGTTGTCCCCGAAGCCCCCAGTGGCACCAGAAGGCTGGTGGGATGGCCTGGGTGGCTCAGTAGGTGGCACTCTTCCCCTGGTCTTGGTGCGGACTGTCTGGCAGGGGTTTAATCACTCGCAGGGGTGCCCTGCGAGGGAGAGGGACAGAGCTCACATTTGTCTGAAACTGCCAGAACCAGTATTTTAGTTTTGAGGACTTCCTAAGCTCCTGCTGAGTTACAAATACACTTTTCTCCTATTTTAGCATTGCTTGTGGTGTGCACCTCTCTAAAAAGAGGGGCAAGGAGCTGCAGTAAAACACAGTAGCTTCGTCCTGCTCTGCAGCTCTGCAAATGTGAGTTTACAGCTCTGTGATATAAAGAGAAATGGGTGCCAGGTCCCCTCCCCAACCATCCGGGATYGCTTGAGCTCCAGGATCACTTGTCACACGAGACAATTCCGCATCCGCCTGAGCTGCGAGAGCAGCACAGCAGTCAGACGTACAAGTCTTGTCTTTCATGCAGAAGTCTTGACAGGTCTGTGTGATATTACTGTGAGTGTTGAAGTGATAATCAACTTGAGGGTACAACAAAAGCATTTTTATACTATTAGTTTTATATATGCTTTCCTTGGAATGAGAGCTTTTCATTGAAAATGAGTAATCTTATTTTGTTAATTGTCTTAAATTTGACTTAAATGCCATTGTAATCTGCATATAGATGTTGAAAAATGTTAATTCTTGGTAATGTTCCATTGAGGTTCTGAGGTTTACAGTGCACAAGTAGAGTGGGCAGCCTGGTCAACCATTACTTTACTACACTAGTGTTTAGATAATGTACTGTTGAGTTCTCTCAAAGAGTCTATTTTTATATCCCTATCTTACAGCTCAGAAACTATAGCAAGATGCTGGTACATCCTGCTTTCGGGGTCTGTGCTGATGAAGGATTCCATGTTTTTGCCACCTTGCAGGTACGTAAAGGATTTTTAGATAATACAGCTTTATACAATTTGGCTTGAGTCTATGTTTAATGRCATATATGTTTAATGTTAATATAATATACATATATTTATATATGTATTTATATTTTTAAGGAAAGCAAGAGGATAGTGTCTGTGCTATTGGTTGCCGTGTGYATGACAAGGTTTTGCATTTCATAGTTGCAAAGCAATGAATGTTATGTGAACTGCTTTAATAGGAGTATGATGTTTGATGCGAGTTGGACCTTGCTGTACTGTAGTGCTCTGCTTGACCTCGTGCGTCATTCGGAATCATCCCTGATTGAAGCTACACCTAGTGTGTTTGTTTTAAACTTGCACTTCTAGGCTTTGGAGCTTTAAAAAGAAAAAAAAAATCCAAATAAACAAAAAATTCTAGTCACTTAGCTGTGTGGGRTACTCTGTATCCCACTCTGTGTCTATTTGGAATCTCTGTGTCTGTTTGCAATCTCGGTTTTGGAAATGCTGGGGGGTCTGACCTGGATACCTGTTCTCTTGCCTGGGTRCCGGTCTGGGAGGTGTTTGGTGCGATACCAAGGGAAGCGCTGCCTCTCCCAAGGAGCTCGGGTGGAAGGCAGGCTTCCCGTGGGACGCGCTGCCTCCCGCATGGATTCCTCCTCTCCGGCGGTTCCTGGGTGCCGAGTAACCCAGGCCACGGAGGCTGCTGCCCCCGGTGCTCTCCGGGTTGTTCCACTGCCCGCTTCCCGCCGGGCTCACTCGGGAATGAGGGTGCTTCCCTTGGGCCTGGCGAGCAGGACAATGAGATGAATAAACAACGGAGGGATACCCAGCCAGCGTACGTGTCCTTCCTCACGAACGCGAGTGTGCCGGCTCCTGACGACACGGGCGGCACCTTACTAGCACTTCACTTGCCGTGAATCGGCTATAACTTCATGAGCTTAAAAAAGATTCCTGTGGTTCAAATGTATCTATATTTATCTATATAAAGCCATATATTTGAATTTCATGTCAAATACCAATTATAAAACGTAGGACTGAAAATTTCACCTCAGTAGTTGAACAGGCATAGGTTGGACATTACACTCCTAGAGAGACTGGAATTCAGCAGTGCCAGAAGTGAGGGTGCTGCAGGTTGATTTTGTATGAAGCTTAGTTAAAATTGCTGTTTAGCTAAGCTTGAAAAGTGTGGGATTTACCTGCATTATTAAGCCTAATTTAAAGAAAAAAAAATGTGTGGGTGAAGCAGATCTGTTGTTGCTAGTTTACAGGATTGCACCTGGCTCTATAGTGGATAATGAGCAAAAATAACTGCTAGGTGATAATAAGGATCCCAAAGTTCTGTTAAATGAAAACTGGGGTGGTTCGTGGGGTTTATCCTTCGCTTACGTAGTGAGAGCCCAGGAAAAGGAAATAACCACACTTCTCTTCTGGATACCCGAAGAGATACCCAATACTTCTCTGACCACGTTCTCATTATAGTGGATAGGGGGAAAGGGAGAGGGAAAACCTCAAATATGAGAGGAATTGTGGTGTGCTGAATGTTTAGAAGAGAAATGCACACCCCTGCACTTAGGTAAATTGAACTTATTGGGAGTTATATTTAAGGTGCGCAACAGGATGCTTGCATCCCTTTGACCCTTTCTGGTTTTCATGCTAACTTCCATTGGGCACCCGTGCTGCTCCCTCTCGCATTCCCTGTCCCATCGTGCCCACGTATGGAGAGGGAGAGGTGCCGCCCGGAGAAGCAAACAGGGCACGGGACACAGCGGCTTCCCGCTCAGTGCTGCTTGTGTTGCTGAACCTCAAATCACAATTTAAAATAAAACACTGTGATTTTTAGTGTTCTCTACTCACGTGATTCTCCCGGTGACTTTTTCTCGTCCGAGTAGTTCGTGTCACGCTGAGGGAGCTGCAGTCACAAGTCCTTTACAGGCAGTTTGGGTATGAAATGGTACCTTGGATGACATAGTAATACTCCTTCAAAATTATAATTAGCAGCTTTTTAATTACATCTAAAGTAATACTTAATGTTCTGCATTATCTCTTATCCCCAACCAAGTTTCTGATTATGTGAGTCATCCTCAAAGGAGGCTTAACTCAGCATCTGTAGGAAAACATAGCGTTGCCTTCATTTTCATTGCCTTGGATGTTACAGAGCTATCTTTCTCTTGACAGAATTTTATGCAAAAACATGGTTTTATGTCTTTTTTTCTTTTTTTTTAAGCAATAACAGTGAAAATAACCTACAGGATAGCATTATATATAAATCATCTTTGAAATACAATGTGGAAGAGAAACTTTAAAGACAGGATATAAGAAGTTGATAGCAAGGAAGATAATTACTGGAAATTATTGCTTTTTAAAAAAGTAATTATTTATTACAGAGCCTCTTAGTTTAGGATTTTGTTATGATTTTATGATTTAGGAAACAATGCCTGGTCACCTTAAACAGTGTAAGTGGCTGTAATTGGTGGGGAAGATAGATTGTGAGAGTTTAAAATAGGGTATGAAGGACACTTGTCTGTTCAGAGAGCTGCTCTGAGTGATGCAAAGCGTGATGCCGTGCTCTGCATGCCCGATGAACACGTTTTACCTGTTCATTATTGGTATAATAAACGTTATGAAAGGCTGCTGTGTTCAGGGTACTGATCCACCTTTTCTTTCAATCCCCATGGAGGAAAGGGGAGGATGGATGTGGGGGGCTAAAGCAAGGAGTATCCAAAAAATTCAGATATTGCAAGAGTGCTGAGGGAGGCAGAGATGCTCCCTGCCTGGTGTGCAGATTATTGYGGCAGGCTGCTGGTTTGCTTGGTGCCCAGACCCGGCCTTGTCTGGTCTGTTGGACGAGTGGCCTAAGCRCAGCAGCGCCCAGGCGGAGGGGAGAGCGGTTGGACATGGGCGTCATTGCACGGAGGTGATGCAGGACACGGGCGACGGCTCCGAGTCATCCCGGGAAGAAGGTGGGTGAGAACCACACAGGAATCCTTAATGTGGGGAAGACTCCAAGGGTGGGAATTTGGGCTTAAGGCACTGGGCTACGTCCAGATTAGAAATGGTCAAGAGCCGGCCTTGACGCAACTCCTGCTGGAGGAACTGGCTGAGCAGGCGCAGGTAATAGTTAGCAAGTGGATTCTAGCTTGAAATAAACCCTGGCATGTGCTTCATTAGGCTGCTTTGTGTCTGAGGCATTAGAATGTGGGTGCTYATTGCTTCATTACTTCCTTGAGGTACTTGAATGAGCTGGGCCTTAACTTAGGACGGCTTATCCTTGAGAGGGCTCTCTCTTGAACTTAGAAGAAGTAAGCAAGCTGCAATTCAAAAATTGGCTTGAAAATTGAGGAAGCGATATAAGATAATGTTGATATAAGATAACATTGATCTAGTCAATGTTTTGACACTGGTGAGGAAAGCCCTGTAACAGCTTATTTATTATTATTATTTTTAAGGTAAGCAGCAGATGAGTCAGTAATGTCTGGTATGAAGATGATATMATCTTGGTTGTCTTGTCTGGATTTACCAATAGGTTTGGTGCAGTAGGAAAGGAAGGCACTTCTAATGTGAAAGTGATGGCCATAACAAAAGAATAGCAATGAAGCGGGTTGTGTAGAGAAAAGCATTTCAGGAAGTTAGAGGGGTTTTTGTGTTAACCTTGCTTGTTAATCAAGATAATTCATGTGAAGAGGATATTTGAAGGAGATTACTCACAGCGAGATTAACTCTGGGAAATATATYAAGGGCCAGGAGCAACTTTTGAAGCCAATTATGTGGGTGACAGCCTCCTGCAGACGTGAGAATTGAACCTTGACGGGAAAAATACCAAGTCTAGAAACATTCAGGATGTCGCTTTACCGAAAACAAGCGCTTCCCTCTTCCTGTCCCTTCCACGAAACTCATGACCAGCCCTTCCCAAATTTTGCAAAGGGAGAAAACTGGAATTATTCTCCCTTCTGCTCCATTAGTGCATTTGTTGGTTGAAACCAATTTTTTGGCTAGAAACCTGTTAACTCAAAGAGATTTTTGCTTTGGAAATAAAATTTTTGGAGAATGTATGGTAGGAATAAAGCAGGCCGTGATTTTTGACGTTGGGGAGGTCCCAACGGAGCCTGTGGGTGGTGTCGGGCAGGGCGCCCGTCCCATCTATTCCATGCGACTGACAGTATGGGAAGTGCACAAAATCCTTTAAATTCCTACGAAATCCATACATATCAGTATAGGTATATAAAAACACGGGATTAATGACTTGCAGTTCATACAATTTAAGATTTCTGTAACATAGGAAATTTAAAATCTCTATGTATTTAATTATATTTTCAGGTATATTTATACCTTGCTCTGGTTTTAGAAGATATATTCAGTTTGACTTCCATGTTACTATCTAAAAACTCTCCTGAATTTGTGCAGTTCAGTGAGAAAATAAGCGGGAGGCTCCGAGTTTCTCCGTTCCCAGGCTCGGCGAGTGAAGGCTGCCCTGACATCCCCTGCACTGATCCTCTCTTCCAGTTTAAGTTTCGTAAGAGAGCCCCCCCATAGCTGTACAGGGAATATATTTGTTTTCTGCAGCAGGCTCCAAGGTTAGATAAATATGCATGCCCTGTTTGCTGCTGGCATATGCTGCACTTAATTTTTTGACAGATCTACAGCTGCCACTAAGGTTCCAAATTGTGATGCTTGCTGAAGCAGTTGTGATTTAAATCCCTTAAGTTTTTGTTCCCAAACCCAAAGGTTTGGGGAAAGAAATGGCATCAATATGTGTTTGCACATTTGAAAGCTCTTTGCAACTAACTGTCCTAGATTTATTTTTTCCGCTTTCAGAACCACTGCTTAAGGCTTATGCCCGTGTGCTTATCAAAACTAAATAGACTTTCTATTTACCCTTAGATGAGATGATAATKCAGTGCATAGTTCTACCGGAGCTACTGTTTCTTTGAAAACTTCTCTAAGTGGTTGCTGCAAATACAAGTTGATAATGCTACTAATGAATATGTTTTATAGAATCGTAGAATGCTTAAGGTTGGAAGGGACCTTTAGAGATCATCTAGTTCAAGCTCCTGCACATGCAGGGTCAGCTAGAGCAGGTGGCACAGGCTGTGTCCAGGTGGGTTGAGAAGATCTCCAGAGAAGGAGAYTCAACGGCCTCTCTAGGCAGCCCGTTCCAGGGCTCTGGCACCCTCACTGGGAAGAAACTTTTCCTTAAGTTCCTGTGGAACTTTTGGTGCTTCCGTTTGTGGCCGTTTCCTCTAGTTCATGACATTGCAGTTGATGTCCTGGGTGTGTATGGGGAGCTGTCCCACCGAGGGGTGCCCTTTGAGGAGAATAAAAATGAAACGTTACCCGAAGGAAGGTTGAGCTCTGCCTTGGGGGTATGTGCGGAAATACTTATTTAAGAAACAAACTGCAAAGAATTCTCCTGTATTTTGTATGCATCCTGCATCTCGCAGGGCAAAGTGTTCTCGCTTGTGTGAGAAAGACATTTGCATTTGAGAAATCCATCCAGGTTGCTGGCCCAGGTGATTGAATGTTTGGGGTCGCTGGGTTCTCTCTGCAGCACCAAAAGCACAGCTCGTCCACGTCTGATGCTTTTGAAAGACACTTGACAGATAAACAGGCAGCCTGAGAGGCAAAAGTATGTGCATAAAACCAAAATAGTTGTAGAAAGTCGCAAACCTTTTGCTTGTTTTGCTGCTGTGCTGGGATGTYCTTGTCCTACCCCAGACCTGCCTCTAATGCAATGCAGAGTCTGCCGTAGCTGTTGATCAAATACTGGCAATGTTGATGCCCATTTGAAGTATCTATTCTGTTTTGAGAATTTTCTATGGAAAATGGTCAGTTAAGAAGAATTTCAACATGCTGGTGTTAATACATTTCAGTATTAATATGGCTGCCATTTGTTCCACTCCTAATTCTTGAAATTCCAGGTGTTTAGGACCAAATACCTAAATAATTTGACAGCTAAATATGAARCATTTTTGAGTATTTGTGTATAGAAAATTGTAAATATTTACATATACTCCCTTTTAATGAAATAAATTAGGGTCAAAATAGGTTATTTGGGAGGATTTTGAAGGGAGCCTGCTTTGTARGAGCTAGGCTTGCTGTACCAGTTCTTTACAACAGAAAATAACTTTATTTTGCCTGTTCTTTGCCCATTCTTCGTGCCAGGGAAGTTGTCAAGCCGTTTCCTTTCCAAGTTAGGGTTGCTGCAACGCCAGCCCTTTGCAGGGTGGGCAGGAGGAGGGAGCTGCAGTTTCCTCAGGTCTCCAAGGCTCCCTGCGGGGAGCAGTTTTGCTCAGTGAGACTGTCTCAGTTAAGTCGAGCCTCCCTGTAGCTGCTGGCAGGTTTAAGGTCCTAAAGCTCTGGTTCCATCTCTGTTAGTTCCCTGTCCATCCATTCTATGTGAGTGGTTCTAGCTGCATCAACAAACCGTGCGGCGGGAAGCTCCAGTCTCATCCCAAGCCCCGGGCCCATTAGTGGTTGCTCTATGACATAATGCTGCCCTCGCTTGCATTCCTTTCTCATATGATGTGTTTGCTTAAGCATTTTTAGCTACAAATAGCAGTGAATCTGGAAAACAAGGGCTCTTACAAATGAGGCAAACAGAGATCAAGGGAAAACAAAGCTGCTTTTGATACACGGGGACCCTTTTTCCTGTTTCGGTGTTGCAAGCTCCTGACGGAGTGACTGCAATTAATGATGCAGATGTAATAGATTAATAGATATTAAATGACAGGCGSACACACAGTAAGAATTTAAAATTAAAAATGCAATCAAGTTTATAGTACTGACTTTTTCTGGCCTTCAAAGGGTTGGAAACTGTAGAATATATAATTACATCAAGTTTAAGACCCCRTAAAAATAAATTTGATTAAATATTTAGAGCAACTGAGGGATTCTGGTGCTGTTGTTGCTATTTCAAAAACTATACCAAATCCCGAAGCCTGCGATGCCCGAGTTGTGTGCTGTATGGAAAAGGCAGGGAAGATGCCCAGGAATTTTTAGCAGGCGTTTGCTTAGTGCAAGTGCCCTCAGGTGTTTTTAGGTGATGTGAAGGTGGGAACTAATTCAAGGGATTCAGCTGAAGTGTGTTTGATTGACTAGCTTCTCCCYCTCTTTTTGTTGCTCCCGGTAATACATCTTTTAGGGATTTTTCTTTCATATTTTTAACTAGTGTTAGAACCAACGTACAGACTGAAGTCACAAGTTTMAGGCGAACTTCTAGGGGAGAGTTTGCTGGGAGAAGGAAGGGTGGGTGCGGAGTGGAGGGAATTCTGATAAAAATGTTGTGTGTGAAGTAGCAGTTCAAGTTCTGGAAATTTCAGTCTGTTTGTTTTTTTACCAAGCCTGTGTAATGCCTAATTAACACTTACTAATGTGCTCGTGTCAACAGTGAAAGCCATTGTGAATGTTTTTGAATGTCTACAAATAATAAAGATCTTGCAGAAGAAAAGCCTTTATGTTTAGGCTTTCTGTAATAAGCTGTGATAAGAGGTGCAGAGTAAATTAAAAATCACAATGGTGCTATATTGTTAGTTTTTAACRCAGTAGTTTTCATTAACCCCTCTTTTTTTTTTGAGGAAGGGGGTAGGTATTGTAATATGCAGTATTGTCAATTACTTTTATTGATGGAAAAAATGAAATAGATTGTTCGTCTCATTGCTTTTGTGTGTTTTTTTTCTTCTGTCTCACTCTAGTTTTGGCAAGCAGTCTGGAGGAAAACGGGGATGCGAATGTATCATCCTGGAGCCTTCAGAAATGATTGTGGTAAGAGAGCTGTTCAAATGTATTTAAACTTACTGCAAGTTTCATCAGATTCCTTCTCTGCCTTGTAGCAGAAAGCTTATTGTAAACTCTTTTATAAAAAATACTGCAGCAAAATTGCCTTGATTTCAATTATACTTAGGGCTGCTTTTGTAACAGCAAGTAAATTTGGGTGGGTGATGATGGGTGGGTGATGGGGGGTGATGATTTGGGTGGGTGACGATGAGGAGGATGATTGTGTCMTTCTCTCTAGAATTATATTTCCTCCCTGAGTTTCAGAAGCAGACCCGCTTTGGCTGGCGTGGGTGTCGCTGGGCTGGGTATTAGGCCTGTTCCTTGGGGATATTGGCACCCAGTCTGTGCCCTGTTTTGCTGCGTTTTGTTAGAGGTAACAGCAGTGCCGGCCCTGCTGGAAGGTGCTCCCAGATTTTGCAGTTCCACCTAGCGTGAGGGCTTTAGGTGAGAGAAGTTGCCTCCTGCTTTAAAGAAAACGCTGTGGGAGGTTTTGATGGGAAATTCTTTAAAATACCTGTTAATGTTGCCGAGTTCCTGTGCGTTCACAGGAGGTTCACAGGTGTGTTCACAGCTCTAACGCAGTTCTCCCTGGGCTGGCGTGCCCCGGCAGCTGAGATGCAGCGCGAGCGCCTTTCCGTGCAGCATCAGCCCCGTCCCGCTCGCTGCCTTTCGTGGCATCCCTCGTGCTCGACTGCAGCAGATAGTTTCAAACTACAGGCTGTCTCGCTGAGGAGCTAATACTATAAACCCCAAGCTCTTGGGTCTATYGTATCATGCAGAGTTTGTTAGTCCACCTCAACCATTCTCCCCATTTTAAACTAGGGATAGAAATTGGATTTGAGCAACTTACTGTGGTAGCATATACCTGACTGTTGGGGGGTTCTCCTACCTGCATTGGCATGAGCTTGTTTTTGACAGTCACTTGTTTAATTAGGAATAGCTCTGCCTGGTGCAGCAGCTGCCCGAGAGCTTTGAGGCTGCTCCTGGGATCTCTTGGCACCAGGGATSCAGGGACCCTTTACCTTGGACTAGTCTAGTCTAGCCCCATGTAGTGAATGCCTGTTAACATCTGGTATGTGCTTCCGAAGTGCTTCTTCCAGGCTAATTTTATCCAAGAGGGAATCCAGTTTGTTCTCTCAGAGACTGCTTGGCAGTGTGAATTGTAGCACTGCAAGTTGTGAAAATGGAGAGATTTGCTTCAAATGTAYACGCCAAGCTAAGCTGGTAATATAGATGCAGCCAGAGGTGATGAACAGATTAATAAACTGCTAAAATTGGCATGCCAGTTACCTAGGGTTTCTTTTCAAACAGTTCACTGCACTTTGAAACACTTTGGGTGTCTCTGAGAATGGTGCAACCGCTGGTTTCAGAGCCATCAATCTGGTTTGGAGCCTTACAGAGTGCTTGGGGCCTTCCGTGCTGGCAGGTCCCTGGAGCATTTCTGGTTCTCCTTTCCACTCTTTTCCTTTGGTGGCATGAAACTCCATTTCCATTGATGCCATGGTAGGCATGGCAAGCAGCTTTCTGGCTGTCAGATGTGAGCAGCTCCTTCTCTCACTTAGGGGGTTACGGGGTCTAGTGATGTGATTGAAGCTGTAATTTTCATCAAACCTGACGGGGAGGACGGTGCCCTCCAGCAGCTGCATGGGAAGGGCTGTGTCTGCAAGGCTTGGCTTTCAGCTGAAAACAAAAAGCAGCCTCACAGTTGTGTTTCACTTGATTTGATATTTTCTCTTCCTTGCTCTGCATTAGGCCAGATATTTCAGGTATAATCTTTTTCCCTGAGAGCTGAATCAAGGAGTTTTCTAGGTCATACCATTATACATCACTCTAAAAAAGTGAGGATCTCTCCTGATTTTAGTTATTTGTAGTGACATGGAGGAAACGAATATTCTGAAGTGGCTGTTGGGAAGCTAGTTGGAAAGAAGCAGCCTTGGGAGCCCTAGAACCCAGTGAGAGCCGCTGTGCAGAGGCAGGGGACAATGTCCCAAAGTCTCCCACTGACAYTGGGCCAGCCCTGCCTGCAGGAAGGCATCTGCTGAGGGGCCTGTGCAGCCTTCAAGAACTGTCCCTTATAATGGAGACTGCTGCATTTTAAGTAAATATTATGGAATTACGTGATAAATACTTTCCCTTTCCACACTTTACAAAATGTGGTGGTGTCACAGTTTGGTGGAGATTCTCTTGAATGGGGAGCTGCTTGGTTTTGAGCCCCCAGATGTGTGGCAGCATCCAGTCCTGGCTTGGAGACCACGCCAGCTTTCTGCTTTGGTCAGTGCTAAGCGCTGCAGCCAGGATTAGAGAGCAGACCTCCAGATGCAGGGGTGCTGTTCGGGATGGCAGCTCGTGCAGGAGCCYGTCTGCATGGCCAGCAGGAAAAGAACCACGTGGGAGGCTGCGAGATGCCTCCCAAGCTTCTGAAGTGCAGCAGTTCATTCGTGCCTCCTRATGATCCAGTCCCCTCTCAAAAGTGAGTTTTGGGGGAGCTGCCTGTGCCCAACAGGGTGCCACAGCACTGCTGTGACAGTGACATGTGCAGCTATCAGCCTCGCGAGTGTCCCAGGCCCTTCTGGTCTTACTGTGCTGCACATTTTTGCCTCTTGGCTGCAGTTCCCTGGGGCTCCGTATGATCCGTGCGGGAACATCCACTGCTGAGGTGCTCCCCGTGCACCTAGGAGCTCAGGTAGCCCCATGGCCAACGTTCATTTATTGGCCACCCTTTAAAAGCTGAAGTAACTGGAAGGGAAAGCTGGCCATCCGCTTCCAAACCGATAACAGCAGTAGCCTAAATCTGGTTCCAAACCAGCCATGCAACTCAACTGTTACAGTGCGAGTTGTCTGAACAGTATTTCATGGTGCTGCTGTGCTATTTCCTGCAAAGCTGCARCAGCGCTGAGCTGCGGCTGCGCTTTGAAGTGGCAACAGCCTGAAGAGCACACGGAAAGTCTGAGAGTTCCCGCGCGCCGCCGGCCCGTGACTCACCCGCTGCCACTTGTTTTGCTACCAAGAAGTTGATACCATGGGCAACGCTTACGYAGCGGTGTGAGGAAATACCAAAAGTTTTGTCGGGCCTTATTGCCATTGTTATAAAAAACACATAAAGGTGCATGTAGGAGTTGCTTCTCTGTAGAATATCCTGTGTTTTTTCTCAAAATTTCTTGTAAGGAACCTGGGGGGGGGGAGGGGGGTGTAGTTGAGTAGCTGAAACACTGAGGCCCTTTGGAGGGGAACACACTGTCACAGTCAGAGGGAGAAGCAGCAAGTTGGAGTCCTTGTTATTTTTAAATTCATATTTTATAGGTAAATTTGGCTAAAGCAGCTAGTTACTGTTGTTTTTCTTTGTAGGCCTTTAAATGGGGAGAGAAAAGGGCAWTAGTCTGGACGCAGGCTAATGACTTGCTCTGACACCAAGCGTACGAGGCTTCATTTCCCTGCTTAATTCTTGTTAATTTCTTTAATTTCTGTTTTCTTCCCGCTTTCCCCCCCGGAGATAAACTTTTTAGTTTGCAACATGGTGATTGTTGCATGGAGATCTAATATATGATAAATGTTTATCTTCAAGCAAAAGATTTAGCYACTTTAACATAGTGCACAATAGTTCATTGATTTCAGTGCACATATGTGTGTGTATATATACATATACATGCATATATATATATATATTTCATTTTCTTTCCCTTTGCTTTTAGAATGTAAATCAGTTTTTGTAATGGGAGCCTCCTGAGAACTGACCTATTTTGAAAGCTGTAAGATGTGGTTGGCTTAAGTTAATGAGGATAACAGTTAGTATGTGAACAGGCATCGCAGCCCGTATTTTGGAGSCTGAACAGTATATTGCATTAATAGACCTGTTTATCATTTAAGTAAATGACCCGAATTGCAGTTTACTTCTACATATTGAAGTCTCCTCTGTTTTTCCTTGCTGCTTCTATTTTCTTCTATGGGTTCAAACAGAAGATTCCAGAAGAGCAGTGTGTTTGGAGGTGAAAAATGTCATTGCTAGTAGTGAGCACAGAGGGAAGTGAGGAGCATCCTGCAGTCCTCCCGTTTCTGCACGGCAGCCCGTGCTGTGGCTGGAGCCCTTTGCACCCAAGGGCTCTGTCCCTGCCAGAACTCACCATTCACAAAACACCCTTGAGAAGAAACTAACCAGTTTGTTGCTCCAGGCTTTTTGTTACGCACTGAAATACCGAGAGGTCTCTTGGGGCAGGGCAGGAAAAAGGGGCGTATAGGAACCCAGGACCTCGGGATCGAGGGCGCATCCCTGTTGTTGCGCCCACATTTTAGCATCCCTTCTGCTTTACCCCGGAGCCCCATCCAGCACAGGGTGCGCAGATCCAAACGTGCCATCTTAGTGAGGCCTTTCAACATTCACGTTTGCTGTCTGTTACCTCTGCTATTTAGATATATGTTTGTGATCGACCCTTACTCGTTTTTACCTACGTTTGGGGTCAGTCACGTGCAGTGAATGCAGGATTGCACATTACTTGCTAAGCAAAGGCATGGTGTTGCTTTTCCTACCCTGTCAGATGTTGGTAAGTGGGAAAAGCCAGATTACGTTGTTGCTTTACCAGCTACTAAATTTAGTTTTTCTGTAATCTGAATCTCTATATATCTAATAGATATATAATCTGTGTGTGTGTGTGTATATAAATATATATGTATAAATCTGATCTCTTGCTACTCACAAACACTTGTTCTTAGTCTTTAATATCCACGTCCTAATCTTTTGGTAGCAATTCATCTGAAGAGCTTTGCAGGTCAATATTTTTCTTGTGTTTTGAAAAGAGTAGATGTTCTCCAGGCTCTAATTTTCAAGCAGTGCCTGGCCTGCAGCACTGAAACTTTACCTCATAAACCCCCAAACATCAAAAATATTGCAGAATTGAGTTGTAGATCCTATACAGACTATTGCATTTCCAATACCTGAGTGAAATTTAATTTCTAGAGCTGAAGTTATCTTACTTGAGGCCGACCTCCCTGAGCAGACCAAATATGATAGAATCTTTAATTACCGAAGGTCAGTGTTTTGTTTTGCAGTGGTGCCTGGGGCCTCCTGGTTTTCCTCTCACTCCTCTTTCCCTCCATTCCTCGAGCTTGCCCAGTTTTCCAGCACTGTCTGTTCTCTCCTTATGTCTTTACCTGCCTGCTCTGTTCTCGTGTATGCTCTCTTGGTGCTTGGTACTACCTATTGGTTACCAGCCACACTCCTACTCTTATTTTCCCCTTTCTCCTCTGCTCCTGCTTCTCCTTTTTCCCTTGCTACTGCCTGCTTGCTGCTTTTTCCTCCTTTTTCCATCTGCCGACAATCTCCTCCACCTCCCTGTTCTGTGGGACCTGGGCATCCCACCAGGACGTTGCTGCCTGCCACAAATTCGAGTGCCTTGATGGTCGGCTGGCCTCCAAACGCTGATTAAACATTTTCGAAAAATTTATTAGCAACTTGCAAATGAAACATGGGACAACTGAGACCTCTGCAAATCCTGCAGTTGATTCAGTGGGAGTTAATACTAATTCCATATGTTTTAATAGTATACTGCAAATTGCATGGTGTAAAGGCCTCTTCTGTGCGTGTGGCTGGCTGCTTTCGTGACGCCTGTGCAGCAGTGGTACTAGCTGAAGGAAGCAGGTGGTCTCAGCTTCTTACTTTCCACTAGCAGTTGGTCTTTCTGCTAACAAATAATGTATTTCTGTTCTTAGTTTTCAGTTAGGAGTCTGAAGGAAAAATAGCTTCATCATTCAGTAAATGTTTGCTTTACCGGAGTCTTCAACACAAGGATCTTTGGTATTAACCTAGCAAGTGTCTTGCCATTTTGGAGAGCCTTTGGCTTCCAGCTTGGCTTGTCCTGCTGCAGGAGCTCAGCGCTGCTTTCAGTTTCTGTGATCCTCTAAGGCTGGATGCAAAGGGAAAAAGGAAGGAATGCATTCTCTGCAGCAGTTCTCCTTGATGTAGCACACACATACAAAAGATTAAAAAGGAAATCGCCACAATTTCTGCTATTTGGGTAACTCTAAGAAACCAAACTTAACCACTTGAAGTGCTCTGTGTAATTCTAGAGCACCATTATTGCTAACTAATCTGCATTTTATTACGTGAAGAAAGGCTTCAGTGCCCAAAGTCGGATTACTTTTTACCATGATACTAAATGGCCTATTTAAAGTTATTTTGTCCGCCCTCGTGGATGCCTTTCCCCCATTCTTATGCCACCRTGCTTGCCGTGACACTGCTCCTCGATGGTTTCTGCTGTCCTAGACTGTTGCAAGCACAACAAAATTCAAGTGCAGTGTGGTTCTTGCTCGCTAGTGTAATGTGGCTCTGCTGCTTTCCTTTTGATGAAGCTGTGGTGTGAAATTAGCTTTTCTAAGTGTGTTTTTTAAGCTGTGTTGTCAGTATAGACACTTCTCGATAGACTTAAAAATAACCAAGCAAGCTCTTTTTCTTCCTCTGACCTTATCTAAGTTTATCTGTTTGGGAAAGTGCAGAAAGCAGTACAACTGTTGCTTCTGTGAACGATTTAGGTATTTACCTTTATGCTTGTTACTCCTTGTTAACTATTTCTGCTTTTCATGCTTTTGTGCCTTTTGAATTTGGAGGTAGTTTACCCAAGTATCTTAACCGAAGGCTGGATAARGCAATACAGGGTAGAGGTTCTTCTCCTGTTTCAGTACTGATCTCTAATGTTTATGATTTTCAACTGAAATGAAAATCACTTAAAATGATAGAAACTCTAGTCCATAAATACATTGCAGAGAAGCTTCTTGCCAGGCTGCAGCATATTTGTGTGCATGTCTGCTCCATTTCCTGCTAGGATGTATTTTTCCAACACATCAGAAGGAAACGTGGAAGGATGGGACAGCTTTTTGTGGAAAAGAAAGGAATTGGAGCTAGTCAGATAAGTGTTTCATGTTGACTTTTACTAACGAGATGAATCTCCCTCGCTTTGAGTGTTCTGTCGTGAACACATGGACCAAATTCCAGTCACTTCATCATCTGTTGGATGTGMTTGAAAATAACTATGGTATAGGTGAAGTGAGACTGAGGGTTATCTATAAATAGCTAGGACGTTTGAAGTTGTTTGTCTGTGCTGGTGTAAGGAATATATATATTTAAGTAATAATAATAATTTCAAAAAAAGGGCATAAATGAAAGCTTCAACTTAATTCAGAGGCTCTAGCRGATTGTAAGTAATTAAACTTTTATTTTGGGTGTATGTTGAGGTTCGTGTTGAAAGGAGCCGCGTGCCATCTCTTGATCTCTTGTTCAGCAGTAGGTGCGGGTGCAGCCGGATTTGTGCTGCCAAGTGACATAGTGACATTGTTCAGAGGATATGGGCGCTTTTTTAAAAAAAAAAAAAAAAAAAAAAAAAAGCCCTGTTTCCTGGAAGGAAACTGTGGCCTCCAGCTCATTGTAATAGTGCCGCTCTGAGACATGCAGCGCTGCCTTTCTGGCGCTGTTGCCGGCCCCTTCTCGAGGAGCGCTCGCCTGCTCTGAACCCATGTTAGCTCTGTCCCCATGAGCTTGCTAAGGCTGCACCGGCTCTCCGCGCTATGGAAGAACTGGATGTTTAACCAGGAGCCCGACCATGTGTTTCAGGTGGAGAACTCCAAGGAGAATGAGGAGAGCATCCTGCAGAGRGAGGTCCCCGGCAGGCAGTCCCGCCGCAGGTTCCGGAAGATCAACCAGCGGGGGGAACGACAGACCATCACGGACAACGTGGACACCAGCAGCTACCACTCGGTGAGCAGGGGAGCCGCTGAAACCCGACGTCTGTTGGGTTTGTTGGGTTTGCTACCGTCGTCTTGTTGGGAGCAGCAGAGAGCCTGGGCTTGAGCCTCTTTGGTGGTGGTGAAGCAAACACTGTGCTGGAAAAGAGGGATTTGGCTTCTGGTTTCCAGTTGAACTTCCATGTTTGCTGCTTGATAGAATTTTCATTATTGATCAGTGTTTTTCATAACATTTTAACTGAAATTATCTTAGTAAGATGTGGAAGATTCCTCCCTCCCCACCCTTGAAGTTTAGGCTGTGTTGAAATTAAGTCAGTCGCAGATCCGGTTCAGGACAGTGTTAAAGCTGTCCTGATACTTCACCTCACGTTTACTTGCCTAAAATAGCAGACTGTTAATTGAAGCATTGAGAAGAGTAACGGCAACTCATGGGCAGCTCACTTCTGGTAAATAACCCCACAGACTATACAGCCTGTGCTGTTGGAGGCATGTAGAGCTGTGGTTTTAAGGCTACGGTGCTTTTATGAAGATTTCTCCTTGCCGTTACTTTTTTGCATGTAAACTTCCTGTGAGTAGTAGGGCACGCTCGTGCTTTATACAAATGATTTCAATTAAAAAATTGCTGTGGATATTTTGATTTGCCTTGGAAAATCAAAGGCTAAAACATGATGTTAACTTTGAAATATGCAAATCTTGAGTAGCCAGAAAAGCAAAGACCAAAACTCTCAATTGAATTTCTCCCCTTTATTTTCCCCTGTCCTCTTCACCTCCTTGAGAGGTACAAAACCCCTCCTGGCTGATACACTTCAAAGCATGTGAAGCATGCAGCTGGGCTTAAAGCTTTCCTCCGTTTCACAACAAACTGCTGTTTTTAGCCTGTTGTTAATTGTTGGAAGGCAGGAGGTGATTTTGGACTCCCTGCAGCATTAGCATTTCTGGCAGCAGAGGTTGTTGGCATTTGTCTTCTAAGCAGAAAGGCTCTCCTTGCTCTACCAGGACATGAATGTGCTTCTTGAAGTCTAACATCCCCAGCCGTCTCATTTCTAGAACTGTCACATGTGTTGGTTTTATCATTAGTGTGTAATCTGAATTAGTTACTGTAGAAATGAGATACCTTATCCGAAAGCTTTGGGCAGCCGTGCGCGAGGCTTCGTTGGGAATTAAATTCCAATCTCTGCAGGACAAAATCTCTTATCTCATCCCCACCCCTCCACCCTCGCCTTGGTGTTGCTGTAGCACTGATTAAACACGCCGTAATTTGTAGCCTTCAGGTCTTTGGAGCAGTTGATAGGGGAGGAGAGTCTCGGGAAGAGCTGAGGCTGATCTTTGTTGYGGGTCTTGTCTTTGGAAACTTCTCGTTGCAAATCTGACTCTYTTGCTCTGCTTTTTTGAGTATATGTCATTTGCTAGGAAGTGGTATAGACTTCATAAATCAGCTGCATGTTCCTCTAAATCGGTTTTTATATCGGGAATATATAAAAAGCGCCCTATTAGCAATGCTAGACATTTTCCCAGATGAATGCTAAGTGGCAAGGAGTAAACATCCACATTTCTGCTATAAAATCTGCAAGCTGTTTGGCTCTCAGCTCTCTGAATTGCAGTACTAGTCCTTTCTTTGCAGGCTGCAAGCTCCTAATTGGAAAGCGTCACATTCCCAGTACTTTGTGCAGTGAAAAGTAATTTGTAACTCAACAGATGACTAGGAAATCAAAACAAGATAACCAGCTGCCTATTTGACAAGTAAACAACAATGGTGCATGCATTTTTCCATATTCCATCGTAATCTGGTAAAATGATGAATTTGTCAGAGGAAGGGTTTGCTTGCAGAGCCCGGGTTTAACTCTTACCTAGCTCGGTCAGCTCCTCCGGGATCTCTGATTCCCAAGGGTTTTGAAAGCCTCAGGCTTGGCCAAGCCCCCAACGTGGGCAGGGTGAGGAGGGGCCGAATGAACYGTCTGTTTGACCCTCCTGCAGCAGCGTTTCTGGCAGGGTGGGAGGGCAGTTCACAAACTCGCCTGCAGGTTTTGTCCCTGCCCTAATGCTGATGGATAAATGCRGTGTTGTGGGTGGCTCTGTGGCGTTGGGGACATCCTGGCACATGCTGCCGCAGCCTTGCATGCACCGTCACTCGGACACAGGAGGCTTTCTGCCTTCTTCAGAGAACTYTGGGCATCACAAACCATCTGGGTATCAAACTACGGTGTCCCTTTATCCCAACTTAGAGATTGTTTCCTTATGTGATTAAGTAGAGGCTTTCCTGTATTTGCTTTAAGGGGAGTCATCTGTGCAATCTCTACTACTTAAGTGTAAATCTCTGCACATTAAATACTGTGTGATTCATATTTATGATTAAGGTTAATCTTTATTTTTATAAAAAGTTACCAATTAAGTTGTGATGCAAACTTGCATCTGCTTTTTGYGTGGAGATTCATGCTGCTTCTTGTTGAAGCAAATTCTCTAATAATCCCTTTGCTTGGCCATGAAATAAACTGGGTATTAAAGCTCTTTTCCTAAGTGACAGGAGTAAGAGAAAGGAAGAGCTTGCAATATTGTAATGGAAGGCATCAATGCACACTGTTTATTATTTACGATATCTGACCATCACATTATTGTTGCTACTCTAATTCAGTAATTTTAAAAGGGAAAACGCACCAGCTGGTTGTTTTCCTTAAGTGAAGGAGTTACTGTTTAAGTTCCTGTACTGTCTTTTGTGGTGCCCTAAGAATACTGCTTTTCTGCAGTATCTGTAATATTTTCATTCAAGTATCTCGTTTGAGCTTACTGCCTTGGAGAGATTTGGCCGATGGTTTCTGCAGGGTTTGCTCTTACTTCCCAGAGCTTGCTCGCCAATATTTTGCTTTAAGGGAGGCTTGGCAAATACTAGTTCTTCCTCTCCTCYTCTTGTACGTAGGTGTGCAGGCAGGAGCTGGAGTCGTGCAGCAGGCCACGATCAGAAGTGCAGCAAATGTCTCCTCGTCTCTATCTTCTACACTAGTGCTCAAACCAATAAATAATGCAACTGTGTTTCTCCTTTGCATTAAGAAAAAAGGAAAAAAAAATCCTGAGTGGGGTGCGATCATCTTTATTTTGAAGCATCTTTATGCTCCAAATGGCCGCATGACAGTAGCGGTGTTGAACTCAAAGGTACTACATGCAACAGGTGCTTAAGCACTGAAGCTGCTCCAGAACCAGATGGTTTTTATGCTAACACTTCGCAGGAAAAACTGTTTAATGGCCATTTTGGTGCTTTGTAAAACTTAAATTGCTCTGTCATTTGTGGGTCACGTATTGAGCCAGGTTAGCAGCTCAGATATTTATCTTCATAATTGAAAAACAAAAACCTGAGCCAGCAAGTCTCACACTTCACGCTTCCCTTTCTTGCAGCAAGCAAAACCAAAATGGGGTTTAAGCCTGATATAAGTTCTGATAAATTCAAAGCTCTTGTAACATTTTAGAAAGGTTTTTAAATTTTTTTGTCTACATACATTTTTGACAGATCTTCTCTGTGTGTGGTTTTTTCTTTTTAATTGTATAGCAGGGAGAAAAAAAAATGACCTTTTACTAATAATTTCCTTTCTGAGAGATTCAGAGTTACCTTTTTTTCTTTTCAAACTCTTGTAAGAGGATGATGAGGTTTAAGAGATTTATTACAAAATTAAGTTTTGAGGACAGTATCTTAATACTTGCATCATGTAAAATTTTTTCCTGGAGCCTTGCAGCCGCATTTATCTTCAGAGGAGCCTGTCACTGAAGACTGCTTGAGTGGCAAGTTTCTTCTTCTTTGATCGTTACTTAATGTAATCCTGTCGGGGCTGGCGTTGGCCTAGGATATCTCGCAACGAGAAGGAGCTCAGGCACGTTTTAATACAGTGCATCAAACCCATTAAGTTCTTTCCCATCACTAATTCTTTCCCTTTTAAATGCTATGGGGGCTTTGTAGTCTATTTTTAACTGCTAGGTGAGTTTGCAGAAATGGCACCTTTTATTGATTTCACACGTGCCTCCAGACAAGTTTTCTTGACCTTTGGTGCAGCGTCTGGTTATTTGGGACAGGGTTTGAGCGAGGCTGTGGCTAAGCTGTGAGCAGCTGCATCGTGTGTTCTCCTGCTCTCGTAGTTACTCTTTTTGACACCGAGTTGGGTAGAATCTTCGCTTTATCCAAAGAATCAGAATGAAGCTTGGGGGGCCCGTGAGCCTTAGGCCCTCTCTGCTGTTGGTCAAGGATACCAGAGCTGTGCCTCGCTTCCTTGGAGGGGTRATGCAAGGAAAAAATGCAGGTTCCYKTCTCATTCTGCCTTAAAAAGTGTCCTGCTGTAAAACCCGGGCCCCCTTCTCTGCCTGGCTCGACTCTGTTTCCAGCGGGAAGGCCAAGGGCTCCGGGGCTGGCTCCGTGGCGCCCGCCGGCCCCTCGTGCCTCCTCCTCCYGTGGCCGCCATGCCGTGTGGCAGTGCAGGGTGCTCTGCTTGCAGGGGAGGCCGCAGGGACCTCGGCGYGCTCCCAGCTGCCATCACTGTCACGCTGCCGTGTGTGCCCTTGGGGAGCAAGCGCAGGGGCCATGACCGGCTCGCTTAAACACTTCTCTTAACCAGTGGTGTCGCGCCTGGCTTGGTGTCAGCGCGGCCGCCAGGCGGTGTGTCTGAGATGGCACCCGGCGCGAGGAGCGCAGCCTGCGCCCGGCCTCCTCGCCGCCGAGGTGGCCTCCCCGCCGCCGCCGCCACGGCGCCTGCCCTCGTCTTGTCCTTCCCGTTGACGCTGTGCGCTGCCCTCAGCGGCCGCCTCTCCGTCAAAGGCYGCTTCACAAGGCGCTGTCGCTCATYGTGACGGTCGCTAGCCAAAACTCCGGTATTCGGCATGAACAGGGGCGTTAAAATCCTYCCCGTGTCCCACTGGTGCTTCCAAACCCATGAGTGAGCATCCGCATCTTCCAGAGGGCAGCGATGTTGATGTGTTATGTATAGTGTGTAGGATGGGGATCAGATTAGAAAACATGCGCTAAAAACGTATGTTACAATT